CCACTCCCTTTGGAATTTTCACTGATCGATCGGCCAATTGGAGAGTGATCCGAGTAGGCTTAAGAACATCTCCAAATCCCAATTTCTTGTAGACTGAGTATGGCATCAAATTAGTGCCTTCTCCTAGATCACAGAGTGATTTATCGAACTCTCTACCTCCAATGACACATGGAATGGTGAAGCTTCCTGGATCATCCCTCTTTTCTGGTAATTTATTCTGAATCACAGCACTACATTCAGAACCAAGGGTTACCTTCTCTAGATCAGTCCATTTCCGCTTCTTTGTCAGCAACTCCCTTAAGAATTTAGCATATGTAGGCATCTGTTCAAGTGCCTCCGCCAACGGTATGTTGATATGAAGTTGCTTGAAGAGATCCACAAATTTCTTGAACTTTGGCTCTTCCATGGGCTTCATTAACCTCTGACGGAATGTTGCGGGAGGTTCATAAGGCTTTACCTCTTCGTTCTTCAATTTTTCCACTTTTGGAGTTGCACAGGCAGAATGCTCATGCATAGGCAGATTGCATGCAGTTTGCAGTGCAAGTCAAATTTTTTCAGCTTTTGCACTTTCTTCCTCTGCAACTGCTTTGACCTCCTTTTCTACCGGATTTTTCTTGCTCTTTGGATCCTCCAACTCCTTCCCACTCCTCAATGTGACTGCTACAACCATGGCATCCTTTGGATTCCTCTCGGTATTTGTTGGTAAAGTCCCTGGAATCCTACCTTGAATATCTGCCAAAGTTTGAGCCATCTGGCCTATTTGCCTCTCCATAGCTAACATAGATGATTGCATATTATTGTTGATGGCTAGCTGTTGAGTGACAAATTGATCAAGAACCTTGAAATTATTATCCGTTTTCTGCATATGAGCCAAAATCAACTCCTCCAGCTGGGGCTTCTTCTCTGGTTGAGGCTGCTGCTGTTGAAAACCAGGAGGTGGGATGTTTCGAACACCAGCTGGGTTATTGTTCGACCATGACAAATTGGGGTGATGTCTCCATTGAGGGTTGTGTGTATTTGAATAAATACCACCCTGGCCTTGACTTCGTGGATTATTGATATATTGGACATCTTCCAACTGAGCAGCTCCCAGTGGACACATATCCCTATGATGAGCACCCTCACAAAGTTCACATAAAGCAACCTCCTCTTGTCTACCAAGAGCGATCTTGGCCAGCCTTCGTTCGAGTGCATCGAACTTAGAATCCAACTTGGCATCTATCTTGGCTTCTAGACTCGCAACTCTGTTTATCTCATGCAAGCCTCCTCTTCTTCGAATACTGGTCTCACTACCCCATTCAGTGGCTTCTGAACAGATCTTCTCTACCAGATCATATGCTGCTGGTGCATCCATGCTTGTGAAACCATTTCGAGAAGCATTATTCAGGGCATCCCGGAACTCCCTTCTGATCCCATTGCAGAAAATAATGATCACGTTCCAATCTTCAAGACCATGGCTTGGGCATCTCATCAATAGCCCCTTATTGCGCTCCCATGCCTCAGTCAGACTCTCATCATCAGCCTGCTTAAAAGTAATAATCTCTTCTTGCCTCTTCATTGCCAAGGCAGGTGGGAAGTATTTATCCAGAAAGACCTTTTCAAGCTGAGCCCATGTCGTGATGGAACGTGGTGTTAAGTTCTGAAACCAGTGTGATGCATTCCCTATCAGAGAGAATGAAAACATCCGAAGACGAATTGCATCATCAGACACACTTGGGCTCTTCATCGTATCACAAATGCTCGCGAACCGGCGGAGATGTTCATGAGGATCCTCAATGCTAGCCCCGGAGTAAGTGTACCCGTTGGTGATCATATTGATAAATGCTGGTGTAATCTCCATGGTTGCATCCCCAGCCGGAATGACAACACATGAAGCTCAGGCTCCAGTCCTTCGATTCAAACAAGCCCTGATTGATCGATCCTCGTCTGCCATGATGTCTGGCTCAATGTCACGAGGTGGTGGTGGTGGTGGTGGTGTCGGTGGTGTAGGGACGACAGGTGATGAAGTCTGCCCTCTCTGGGTTAGGGAAGGCCTAGTAGTTGTGGTTGGCTGCTTCCCTAACTTGACCTGCTTCTTGTTCTGACGGCAGATCTTCTCAATCTCCGGATCTAGTGGTAGTAAATTGCCAGTCGTCCTCCTAGGCATGCACGAGGAGGATAAACCTGAAAATTCTTCTGCACACTAACACCCAGGTCAAAATAGTTCACTCACAAAAATCAACAAAAATAAGGTATGGCAGTCCCCGGCAACGGCGCCAAAAACTTGATAGGGAAAAAGCATATAGCTTCAATTCCGATCTCATAGAAAACCGGAAAGTCCGGGTATCATCTCTCAGGGAATGGTACAACCTTATATTCTATCAAATTTATGAGCAAACTATAAGTGAAAATAGTTTAATTGGTGAAACTATTATCTAATAGCAAAAATAAAATAAACAAATTAACTAAAACTAAAATGGTCGGGAGAAATTCAATGGAGAAAGCTCTGGGAGAAACACCGGGACTCACTACCTATCATATCAAAATTAATTCACATATTCCAATCAATTTAATCCAACTCTCTACAGCCAGGATATCACTACTGTGCTAGCTATCCCTGTCAGGAATTACTACGTACTAAACAATTAAATCAAATCCTATTGTCGTAGCTCAATGACTTAATTATTTAGCCTGAAGATCGATATCCTATTTAAGAACGCATAGCACCTTATTTAATCCACTGTCGCTTCGATAAGTTACTATGTCACATGAAATAGGTTCAGTTATTAGGGTTTCACTGTCGCTAATAACCTAATTAACTACAAATCAATGTATTGGTGGCCAGTCAACACAAAGCATTAAGTAATTTCATGCAATAGAGATTGGAAGAAAAGAATTATGAATCAATCCATCAAGTATAGAAATAGCTACATCCTATGGTGTTTCCCCCAGAAATCGGGGTTTAGTTCATGACGAAAATAAAACACACAATCATGTTCTTGTTCATCATGATGCTAGTAACGAAAAGGAGAGAAAATACTGATACGAAATAAATCACAGATTCTGATTTCCTCTCTCGATCGCCTGCTACTGATTTGTTCCAATCGATACTCACAAGTCGCGACGCCTCAACTTCGCTCCGATGCTGCTCTCGGTCTCCTTTTTTTTCTTCCAATTCTTCGCTCTCCGCTCCTTGCCGCCTGCTCCAAAGAAATTCTCCTGCTCGCTGTCTAATTAATTCTCAAGAAGATTCTGTCCCAAATATTCCTTACTAATTCCGTTCCGCCAAATCTCCCGGTGCAGCTCAACCTTTCCCCGTTCCAATCTCTTTCTCCTCCGTCCAAAACCAAAGTCCCCCCTTAATTAATTGCCCAAATAAATGTGTCCGCCCAAAATAAGCTGCTGCCCCAAATAATAATTCTGCCGCCAAGCACATTAGAAGATCCCCGGCCCAAATTAATTCTCCCCGAGACAAAGCGATTTGGGCCCAATTAATTGTTTGTGCACTCGCTTCTTTTTCGTGCTTTCTCCACCTGTAACATATCAAACTCATGGCACTAGGCAGTAATGGTTTTTCAACCATTCCCGGGTTAGCGAGCCCTAAAATAGCACCAATCGGCTAAAACAGATCATAGTATAGTCACATAAAGTTCAAGAATCCGATATATTAAAGCCGATTATCAGGATGAGATGCTGACTTGTTATCTTAGACTTGACAACAATGTCATCTATATATACCTCCACCATTTCACCAATCAAGTCATGAAAGATGGCATTCATGGCACGTTGGTAAGTTGCACCTGCATTCTTCAAGCCAAAGGGCATGACCACCCACTCATAGCACCCAATGGCCCCAGGACATCGGAATGCGGTTTTGTGGATGTCTTCCTTGGCAAAGAAAATTTGATTATAACTTGAATAACAATCCATGAACGAAAAAGTCTTATGCCTAGTCGCTGCATCAAGTAACATGTCAGCTATGGCCATAGGATATTCATCCTTAGGGGTGGCTAAGTTTAGATTTCTAAAATCTACACATACACGTAGCTTGCCATTTTTCTTTCTAACTGGCACAATATTAGATAACCACTCCACATATCTAGCAGGTCTGATAAACCTAGCTTTCAATAATCGTTCGATTTCTTTTTTATCTCTGACAAGACTTCATAAGCAAAACGTCTAAGGGATTGTTTAAAGGTTCTAAAGCCAGTACTAATGGGCAACCTATCTTTCACTAACTTTCTATCTAGACCAGGCATCTCATGATAATCCCAAGCAAAAAAATCTTTAAACTCCTTTAATAAATTAACTAGCTCATACATGTCGAATTCAGAGAGCATGGCACTAATGAAGGTGGAACGTGGGTCGTCCTCGGTGCCAAGGTTGATCTTCTCTAATACATCACGAGAGGCAATATGTTCTTCGTCTTCTTCATCTATACTTGGTCCCTCGCCTTCTTCAGGCAAGTCATCCTCTTCGGGAACACAATCAGCAAAATTTTGGAATAGATGAGAAGAGTGGTGCGTAGAGTGGCTTTGGCATGGGTGTCATGGGCCAAAAATATCCAATCCACGTGGCCCATCTTAATTTATTCTAATTATTATAATTAAATTGGACTTATAAAGCCATTTAATTCTTTGTATTTAACCGATGTGGTACAAGGTTAATTTTTATGGGTAAACAGGTGCAGACCGCTTGGGACTGCTGCTCTTGCTTTGTAAATCTGCATGCTCCTTTGGTTGTTCCGGTTTGATGCTGCTAGCAGCCTTTGTGATCATTTGGTGGCCTACCTAAGCTAGAGAGGAAGAAGCATAGCAACCCACGTCGCTGGTTACAGAGTTTGATGGAGTCAACTTATGTCTTGAGCTAAGCTTTTCAGATGCAGTATTGTGTTTTGTCATGCTATTTTTGCAAAAGAGAGTGGTGTTTGTATTACTTGTGCTCCTTTTGTGCTGCTGCTATGTAACCGACCAACTCTTAGCGATGTTCTTTATAAAGTCATCGCTATAATCAGGCTCAAGCAGAATTTGCTCCATCGGGCCCTCCTGGTCTTGGGCCTCCCGTAAAAACAAGAAGTTGAAGATGCAGCTGGGGGGGGAGCTAAGTGACGCGTGTGACACGTATGTTGCGGTCCCAAGGACGGTGAGCCCCTCGGCCGGACCACGTAGGAGTGATAGGGTGCCAATCCCAAATATGCAGCCGAATAGGAGTTGGGCTCGTTACTTTGTTTATTTGTTTCCTTAGCTATGTCGGATTAGGTTCGGTTACTTCCTTTCCAAGTTATTATATGAACCCTATATAAGTTTGTTCTCGAAATAAGATCGGTAGAAGAAGAAAAAGCCTAAAACCCTTGTGTTATTTACTTTTCTTGTTCGTGTGCTCCGATGCTTGGTTCGCCAATGCATCAATTAGTATCAGAGCCCGGTTCGAAAGAACCGAGCTCGCTACTGCTGCGGCTCCCAGGGCCAGGGAAGGTTGGCGATCTCCAGAAGCTGTTGGAGAACGCGTCCGGCACCAGCGCTGCGGAAATCGTCGGTGATGACCCAACAGGCAACAGCGATCCGGTGCAACCGACAAACAAAGAGCCGCCCGACGTCGAAATCACGGTCTTCGCGTTAACCGGAGTCTCTCACCTGACGACGCTGCGGTTTGAAGGAAAGATTGGGCAACAAGAATTGTGGCTCTGGTAGACAGCGGGTCTACTCATAACTTCATCAGCTGCGAGGTGGCAAAAACCCTAGCTCTCACAGCGAGCCCCATTCCCCCTTTTTGTGTACATGTGGCCAACGGAGAGACACTCACCTGTGACCGCTGCTACGAAGTTGTTGCTCTCGCCATTCAAGGAGAAACTCTCGAGGACAACCTCTACGAGCTACCAATTAAGGGGATGGACGTGGTCCTCGGAATTTAGTGGCTACAACTCCTGGGACCCGCCTGGTAAACATCTGCCTACTGGACGCATCGTTTATACGACCATGGATTTGGCGAAGCAGACCCTCCATTTTCGCAAGCCAGGGCACTGGGTCGATCTCCAGGGTATTAGGAAGACGACCACGCGCGATGACCAGCTCCATCGCTTGCGAGCCCGGGATGTGGCCGTATGGGCCATATGCATGCCCGACACCGAGGGAACAGTGACCGAAACCCCACCAGAGATGCAGGTGCTTCTCGATCAGTTCGGGGATTTGTTCAAAGTTCCGACCAGCTTGCCACCACGCCGAGCAGTCGATCATCACATCACCCTTCGAGATGGCGCGGAGGCAATCAATGTGCGCCCGTATCGGTATGCACACTTCCACAAGTAGGAAATCGAGCGCCAAGTCCAGGAGATGCTCGACTCGGGACTCATTCGGGCCAGTTCGAGCCCTTATTCCTCCCCAGTTTTGCTGGTAAAGAAAAAAGACGCGACGTGGGGGTTTTGTACGGACTTTCGCGCTCTCAACAAAGAAACCATCAAGGATCGATTTCCCATCCCTACTGTCGACGACATGCTGGACGAGTTATATGGTGCCCAGTATTTTTCGAAGCTGGATCTGCGGGCCGGATATCACCAGATTCGGATGCACGAGGATGATATTGCCAAAACCGCTTTTCGAACTCACAGCGGGCACTATGAGTATGTCTTCATGCCATTCGGTTTGTGTAACGCGCCCTCGACCTTTCAAGCTGCCATGAATGATGTCTTGCGGCCCCTATTACGGAAATCGGTACTGGTGTTCTTTGATGACATATTAATATATAGCAAGGATTGGGTTACTCACCTTCAGCATCTGCGGACGCTCCTCGAACTGCTTCGACAGCATCAATATTACCTGAAGAAGACTAAGTGTGTTTTCGGGCACCAACGGCTTGAATACCTCGGCCACATGGTCTCGCCGGGAGGAGTTCAGGTCGATGATGTCAAGATCAAGGAAATGGTGGACTGGCCGCGATCAAGCACTGTCACTGAGCTTCGCGGTTTCCTTGGGCTGACCGGGTACTACTGAAAATTCGTCCAGGGATATAGCTCGATCGCGAAACCCCTCACAATGCTGCTCAAAAAAGGGCAGTTCGGCTGGAATCTCGAGGCAGAGGTCACGTTCGAGAACTTGAAGCGAGCTATGACCACGACTCCGACATTGGCCATGCCTGACTTTGATGAGTTGTTTGTCATCGAGGCTGACGCTTTTGGAAAAGGGGTAGGGGTCGTCCTCTCCCAGAAGGGCCACCCTGTTGCCTGTATGAGTCGAACGCTGGGACCCGCTAAAGAAGCATGGTTGACATACCAGAAAGAAATGTTGGCCATTTCTCTAGCAGTACAGTTTTGGCGGCCATACCTCCTGGGCCGAACTTTTCACATCTATACGGACCAGCAGAGTCTTCGCCATATGCTGGATCAGCGGATTACCACCCCGGATCAACAAAAATGGGTGGTTAAGCTAATGGGGTACGATTACAAGATTTTCTACAAGCCGGGACTAACCAACAAGGCCGCGGATGGCTTGTCGCGCAGTGGAAAAGGCGTTGTACTCCACTCCTTGACGGCACCGACCTCGACGTTCTGTGATGAGGTCCGCGTGGCCGTCACTGGTAACCCCTATTTGCAAGAGCTCCGAACCAAAGCAATGTCCGTAGACCCAGGGGGTATGAGTACAAGTTGGGGTTGATTTTCTTTAAGCACAGGTCGCGATTCCTCCGCAGTCATCACTAATCACCACTGTTCTCAAGGAGTTCCACGACTCGGTTGGAGGTGGCCACTCGGGCATGGAACGTACGCTACGGCGATAGCAGGGTCACTACTACTGGCCACAGATGGCATAATCGGTGAGAGATTATGTGGGTTCCTGTGATGTTTGCCAGTGGGTTAAGGTGGCAGGGTTGGCACCGGCCGGGCTATTGCAGCCGTTGCCCATTCCGCGGCAGGTTTGGGAGGAGATCTCAATGGATTTCATTGAAGGGTTACCTTGCGTAAGAGGTCGCTCGGTTATTTATGTAGTGGTGGATCGCGTTACCAAGTACACCCACTTCATGAGTTTGGGTCACCCCTACACCGCGAAGTCCATTGCGGAGGCATTCATTGATGGCGTTGTGCGACATCATGGGGTTCCTTCCACTATTGTAAGTGATTGTGATCGAGTTTTCTTGAGCTCATTCTAGCAGGAGATCTTTGCCCGACTACAGACGCAATTGCTTATGAGTACAGCTTACCACCCACAAACGGATGGTCAAACGGAGGTTGTTAATCGCTGTCTCGAGTAATACTTGTGATGTTTCACCCAACAGCAGCCTCGGGCATGGGTGCGACTGTTGCCATGGGCGGAACTGTGGTATAATTCCACGCACCATTGAACGATAGGGATGACTCCCTTCCGGGCCCTCTATGGGTGCGAGCCACCCGCTATCATTCCGTACAGAGTGGCGTCTAGTCCAGTAGAGGGGGTCGATGCACTGCTCCGAGAACGAGATGGGACACTGGAGCAACTTCGATCTAACTTGGCTGCCTCTAATCAACGCACGAAGCAGTTGGCAGATGCGGCTCGGCGGGATGTTGAGTATTCAGAAGGGGATTGAGTTCTACTCCGCCTCCATCCCTATCGACAGTCATCCGTTTTTAGGTGAGCCTCATAGAAATTGGCAGCCCGCTACTTTGGACCATATCGCATCATCAAACGCATAGGGGGAGTGGCTTACAAGCTCGCTCTTCAGGTTACCTCTCGCATCCATCCAGTGTTCCATGTCTCCCTCCTCAAGCGCTATGTGGGTGATGTGCTGGATGGGGAAATCCCAGCACCGCCAGTTAGTGAGGATGGGGAGCTCGAGATGCAGCCTTTGGCGGTTCTGGACCATCGCTGGTCGCGCGTTGCTGGACGGGTGGTGGAAGAATGTTTGGTATGGTGGCAGCATTTCCCGGAGGAAGAAGCTACATGGGAAGCGGTTGACGAGCTGCATCATCGGTTTCCGGGTTTTGACCTTGAGGGCAAGGTCGCACTTCGAGGGGAGGGCAATGATGCGTGTGACGCATATGTTGCGGTCCCAAGGACGGTGAGCCCCTCGGCCGGACCACGTAGGAATGATAGGGTTCCACGGCCCAATCCTAAATATGCGGCCGAATAGGAGTTGGGCTCGTTACTTTGTTTATTTGTTTCCTTAGCTATATCAGATTAGGTTCGGTTACTTCCTTTCCAAGTTATTGTATGAATCCTATATAAGTTTTTTCTCGTAATAAGATCGGTAGAAGAAGAAAACCCCTAAAACACTTGTGTTATTTACTTTTCTCGTTTGTGTGCTCCGATGCTTGGTTCGCCAATGCATCACCAAGCTCAATCCATATGCGAACGAAAATGCCAGCTTGAATCTCCACTGGGAGCAGGGGTTGCTACTTTCCAAGTTTGACAGTAAACCCAGAGAGACAACTCGGAAAGACAAACCACCTACCACTTATTGCCTGTCTCTCTCGAATGGTTTGCGTTATTTTTGTTGATGGAGTATTGCCTGTAATCTATCTATCTATCAGCATATTTCATTTTATTTTATTTTATTGTTTAAAAGAAGGGGTAATCAATCTATATCAGCATATTTCAATTGCGGGGTAAAGATTCGTACATTTAATCTTAATACTTTGGGATGAAGAACCCAGGCTAGGAGGCAATATGGGCACTTTTTGTCATTTGGTGCTCCTGACCGCTGGCTAGACCAGTCGTCGATCATCATGTGTAGTAATTGAAGATAAACATGGGATTACAATTCTATAATCAAGGTGTGCAATGAGGCTGAATCTACCTCTTATCTCACATTTTTTATCTTGCACAAATTTGCTTTAACAAGTTGTTTGGATGAGTTGGTTCGATGAAATATTTAACTCGGAATGAAATGAGGTACTTTTTATCTAAACAAGTCCATTGACCAAATTACTACATTCCAAATTGAAATACCAAATGAAATGTCACATAATAAAATATTGCAGCATTTTGATTTGAAATATCACAGGAACCAAAATGATGCATCCAAACGACCCTTAAATTTTTAGACATTTTTAGTTTACTGTATTCTTTTATTAGCCCGTTTTCCAACATATTGAAGGTATTCATTGCGACATGGAGAGGCAGGGATGGTAACTGAATCAGAAATTACGGGTACCCAATTCGATCAATTCGAGGTTGGCGGGTTTTGGGTTGGGAGCAAGTTTTACTCGCTTATCAAATTTGTGGGTTAAGCTGGATTTTAATTTTAGCAAAATATAATAGGTTTTTCACTCGGTCCACACTCATATAGCAAAATACGTAATTTTGTATTTAATATGAATAATTTATCAATATTGTTAGCTTTATGACTATGTAAATCTAATAATATGAATAATTTATGGATATTAGTAGTCTATATGAAGATATATATGTAGAGAAAATTTTGATACCATTACAATATAAGTATTGGAACAAATAATGTATGGTTATGTTCATGAACATATGGGTACCCAATGTCCCGTGAGTAGGGCTGCAAATGAGCTGAGTCTAGCTGAGTTTTACCCCAGCTTGAGCTCTGCTTATTAATAAACGAGTTGAGCTTGAGCTCGACTCGTTTATTAACGAGCCGAGTCGAGATAGAGCTAGCTTGCTTACTAAAATCTTGACTCGTATTTGATATATTCATTTTGTATGTCAAGTATGATATATGTAATAAATTTCAGGATGATGATGATGATGATAATAATAATAATAATAATAATAGTTAAGTGTTCAATATTGACTACTCTAATGTTATACTTTGTGGTATCATATTATTTAGTTAATCAATTTTAACAAGTCAAAATTATGTTATGTCATATTATCGGAGCAATCTATGATACAATATATTTTTCAAATTAACTAAGACATATTTGCTCACATAATTTATGTGTTAAGCTTTATATAGGGTGAGTTAT